GTTTTCTTTGTATTTTACAAGCCTAACTTTTATTGTTTAAATGTTACATGTTATCAATCATTGACATTTTATTTGTCTTTAATCTTATCCGCTACATCTACTGATAATGCAATAATAATACATGCATTATTCCATTGCAAAATCTACCCACTCGCTTTGATAAACTTAGATATATCTTAATGGACATACTAAAAATAGGCGACGGGGATGTCTATTTAGTTTACGAGAAAGAGATAATGAAGCAGAATTTTTTATAGACCACTTCTGAGGCGTCATTCGGTCAGACTAACTGTCATGAATTGATACTCAGACCTCGAAGCAGTTAATTTCAGTTCATTGAGATTCATGAAGGTTAACTTCACCTAGGTTTCACTTTCCAAGCTCTAGAAAAGAACTACGTCGGTCACTGACTTTCTTGTATTGATTATATGACAACTGCATTTCCCTGGGCTTGGCGTGTCTAGGCCGGCTTCAAAGCTCTTTTGATTATGTTATAACTCTATGGCAAACTTAGGTGATGTCGGATCTAATATTAGACTCATTAAATACTCACTGATTGTCAAAAAAGAAAAGAAAAAGAAAAAAAGAAAAGAAAAATGAACCTAGCTAAAAATCCTCAAGATCTGCTTCCTCTTTGGTAGCCCGCCCAGGCTTGGCTAAAAAAAGCGATAATCATTTGATTATCGCCTTAATTCTGCTTGAGATAAAGCCATTGGAACACCAGCCTAAGAAAGCTGACTCGTATAACCATCAAAAATAAATGCTTTTCGTCCAGAGCGAGTTCCCTCGGTCAAGGCTGAGTGAATTCAAAGTGCCTGGTGTTGTATCTTCTGCGAAGTAAAAGTTTCTCACCGGCTCGGCGGCGGAGGTCGAGGTCCCTCTCCAAGGAAACACGTGGCGTCTGTTGAGTCGCAGTGCTCGTAATAAAGCTTGTGATAGGCAGTGTTACTTAACATGCACTAGTTATTGCCAGTGGAGTTTATCATGCATAGCGGTAGTCTAGTATCACCCTGTGAATAATGACCTCGGCCCGTTTTCAAATCATCGCTGAAAGTGACAGTGGCTCATGCCTCGTGGCATTCATATGCCAGCTGGCCGATAAGAATGATAAAGAGCTTCAGCGCACCGGCCTGTCTTGCTCTACGTCGTAAAAGTTTATGATTTAGGGATTTTCCTTACCAGGGTCTGCTGGTCCGTCAGCACGCTCATCTCCCGGAGGCTTATATGGACGAGGAACCATTCTAAGGTGATAGATCTTCCTGGAATAATATTAATGAGGATGATAATAATAATGATAATGATAATAATAATAATGATAATAGTAATGATAATAATAATGATAATAATAATAATGATAATGGTAATAATGATAATAATAATAATAATAATAATAATGATAATAACAATAATGATAATAATAATAATAATGATGATGGCAATGATAGAAATAATGATGACAACAATAATAGTAATAACTATAATGAGAATGATAATAATGATAACAGCAGCAGTAGTTGTTGTATTGATTATAATAATAGTGATAATAATGATAATACTGATGGCAATAATAACAATGATGATAATGATAATGATGATAATGATCCTATTACTACTGCTACTACTACTACTGATAATAATGAAGAAATAGTGATAATAGTACTAATGATAACGATAATAATAGTACTAACAATGATAACAATAACCATAATTATGATAACCATAATGGTTCTACTACTAAGAAACATTACATTAAATAACACAGAATTGTTGATGATAACAACAACAATAATGATAAAAATGGTGACAAGATAATATGATGACAAGAATAACGAAAACTACAAAAGTCATAGCAACAAAAATATGAAATGCGACCATTACGAAAAGCGAAAAAGAGTAACATGAAACCCACTAAGTTCTTCTCTTCTGGGAAATCACTCAGGACTTCATGCGCAAAAACGAACGGAAGACCAAATTATGCGTAATAAAACTCCCGTTATCGCACACAGCGACATGGACGTATTTTTTTACGCTTTTGTTTATACGGGTGCGGATAAATTTATATGTATATATATATGTATATATATATATATATATATATATATATATATATGTGTGTGTGTGTGTGTGTGTGTGTGTGTGTGTGTGTGTGTGTGTGTGTGTGTGTGTGTATGTGTGTGTATACATACACACACACACACACACATATACACACACACACACACACACACACACACACACACACACATATATATATATATATATATATATATATATATATATATATATATATATACACATATATATATATACACACACACACACACACGTTATTAGATTGTGGTCTTGTGTTCTTCGTTACTTGTGCATATGTATGCTCAGTACGTACATACATTTTAAATACATGCGTGCATATATATATATATATATATATATATATATATATATATATATATATATATATATGTATATATATGTCTATTTATTTATCTGTATATGTCGA